AAAGCTCCCCTTTCCGTCGCACTAGCCTGTCTTTATATCATCTTACTCCACTATTGTATTAATTAGTCCTGACTCCATCATCGGGGCCACACTCCCATCCGTCCCCTCTACCCTCTCCTCCAATGAAAAAAAAGTTTGAAGTGTCAAAATAGAAAGGAAGAAACAAAAAAAGTTGAGGAAAAACAATTGTGGAAGAAAAAAAAATGGATAAAGAAGCATCAAAAGTAGAATTTACAATAGCTGGCAATGCATAGATAGGGAAGTTAAAAGGACTGTGTGAAAAACTTGGAAAATAAAGAACTTTATATGATAAAATATTTTGGCCACCACAATATAAATAAAAGATTCACACCGCTCAACCTTTTTAACACATAATTCACATTTGAGACAGGAAAATCAATAATAACATCCACACACTCAAGAGAATACATAAACTCCTTAGTAACAATGATAAGGCAAAGGCTTTTAACAACATTCACAAGTGGGGACATATATTCAACTCAAAACTTGGCTAAAGTGATTCAACCTTTAAAACAAGGGAATATTCAACACCAAAATTCATTAAAGACTCTATTAATAAAACAAAAGTAAGATTCTCAACTTTATGTATACACTCAACATTTAAATTAGTATGAGGAGGACATAAAACACTCAACTCAACACTAAACTGAAAATGAGAATTATTAGAGTCATAAATGATCAATGTGTCAGGAGAAGAAAACATTACAAATAAGAAAGAAATACTAAGAACATGAAAATGTGGCTTAGGCCAAAAATTAAAAAAAGGTTGGGAAAGAGTAGAAAGTAAAGAAAATGGCTCAGATGGTAAATTAGAAGATTGACATCTACCTTATGAAATCTCTATTTCATCTCCAAAGCTATTTTTATAATAATCAAGCTCCTTATCATAATGTAGAATCCATTTGAGCTCATAAACATTGTCTTCTCATAAACTTGATCCTTGAACATTCTTTAAGAATCAAACTACAGTATTCATAACTCACCAATCAATGTCATAATCACACTTTACATTAACTAAAGATGGCAAAATACCAAAAACAAAACAAGCAGTTTAATTATGTCTTACAGAGTTGGAGACAGCAACACACCAAGGATGGGTGCATCATTAATATGATCACACCCCCTAAAATTTTGATTCAACGGAGTAATATTAACAGCCTCAAGTGATATATTTCTTGATCAATAACGGTGTGGTATGATAGAAGAAGAAAATGCAATATACTAATTATAGTACTATAGTATATAGACCATCTATTTAGGATTGAATTTGGTTTTGTATATAAGCAAGGGTCTAAACCTTAATTAATATGTTTATTCCTATATCCCGAACACTCATATTGGTGGAATTGAGGGGCACTACAATTTATCCTTGAAAGGTAAAGTTTTTTGGTAATATTTTATTTGGGATTGTGTTTTTTGTTCTTATTTCTTCATTCTCTTTTAGATCTAGATCTATAGTAAATGGTTATTTTTTAATTTTTGGATCATATATTATAAATGGTAATAGATTAATATCATCCAATAAAAGTATAGAGAAACTCTTAATACGTATATATATACATGTATTTAAAAACCTTATAGTAATAGTTTGCTATCAGTAAAAGCAAAATTAGAGCAATATTAAATGATAGCTTAATTGTTGAGAATGTTTTTCTAAGGAGAAATTATTTGGTCAAAAAATTCTAAAAGGATTGGTCATTTATGTTTACTTCACCTTTAACTTGATGGTCATTTACTTATAAAAGATGATAGTTTGAATATAATATAGAAAAACAGTATATTTTTTAAGAAATGTGTTCTTTTTGCTCTTTTTACTATTGAAAATAATGTTCATTTAGTTATAATCTTATTTCAGAAATACTAAATTCATAATTTAGAGTAGCTTTGTTTTTTACTTTTATTTATTATACTAACGTTCTATAAATAATTACAAATATTTTATATTATTTTAATTAAAGTATTTTTCTTCTGAGATTTAAAATCTGGTTATGTGAGTGCATGGACGACCGGAACACAAGTCCACCGACAGCCACATTCCGGTTGGCTTGATATAAATAGTGTCTTTTGAAGAGAATTGAAGAGAAATGGCCTTAGGAAGATGATTATATTCCTGAACTTTTGTTATCAAAGACGCAAGTGATAGTGTAAGCAAACATGCCAGAGGAAACCATAGAACATTATGGGTAGTTGTGAACTTACTGTGGCTGTAGGAAAGAGCAGGCAACTAAACCAAAACTGATTTTCTTGTAAGGATCTTGTTGAAAGAGTCTGGGATAGGCCAGACCTCAAAGTTGTTTTATGTTTTTCTTTTTATGTTTTTTGATAAGTTTTACCATGAATGAAAACACAAGGAATGTTCTTATTGAGCAATACTCGTTGGAGGAATAAATAGAAAAATAACTCACACTTTTCCTCGTCACCTCTTTGTGGGGCTGCATGTCAATGAGAACAATGCGGCGCCATGAGCCGGGACTGACGCTTCCAACGCATCAGAAATCACTCCAATGTTCTTGTTGCTCCAAATATCCATCGCATCACACTCCCATCCATCACTCGACGATCCAGGCTTCGATCTCGTCCCATGGTTTACGAGATTCGCCACCGTGATGGCGATCTTTGCAGCCTTGGAACCAACGTTGAAGAGTCCCACGTAGTACTCTCCTGAGAGCAAGCAAGACAAACAAAGTTATTAGAAATCCAAGGCTTTCTCGCTACGCTTACCATCGCTTCCACGGGCAGACCACACGCGAGAGCTGTAGACTTGAGGATACACCGCCGCGCAGAGGCCAGTACTGCGACTGTGAAGCTTTCCATCCGGTGTAAGCTTCCATTTCTGTTAAAGCAAAGCATTTTTCGTACTTTAGCTTGCGGGAATGGAAGTAAGAAAAGCTCACCTCACTCCCGTGTTTGGGACACGAAGAGAAGCTGCTACTTATCAGAGAACCAAATGCCCGAGGGAGCTTCGCGTATGATTTGAGGCACAAGTTACCAAGCTCGGAGGAGAGATGGACGTGACCAGTTTTCCTACGAGCTTGGGATTAGTATACTGGGATGATTCCTTTCGATTGTTCTTCACCTTGAGTTTGTAGCGTTTGTCCAATCCAAGCAGCCTGTCATCAGCTCGCCGCTGCCATTCCGGAACTTGGGAACGGACCAGCACATTTTTTGGTCGACGAGAGACCACCGAGTCTCGCCAGAATCGCTGCAAGATGATAGGCGTAGAACGGAGGGCACTTCATTGCCAGATACCGCTTCAGCACTGATCTACAGAGCATGAAAACATGAGCAACTTGCATAGCTTAGTATAGTTTTAAAAACTTTTAAAAAACCATACCTCCATGTTTCGAAAGCTGTGGCTGTTGATTCCAAGCATCACAGAGTTTGTGATGAGACTAAGAGTATCTTGGTCGATCTTCCGCAGATCCCCACCATAAATAAGCGGAGACTTGGCCATCGCCCATAGACTCATCTGATATCCAGGAAACGTTACAAAGGAAAGAAGAAGAAAGAAAGAAAAACAACAGCACACATTTGACTAAAAAAACCTGTAGCTTTTCTTCGTCCGGAGTCAAGTTAGAATATCTGTGCGGTCCTCGTCGTACTCCTGGAATATAAAACTCTGAAACAAGATCCAAGAGAAAACATTCAAAACAATACCGGGATCAGTGATCCATCCGATCGGAAGCATGTCCAGATCCGGCCAGGACCGCCCTCCTTCCAATCCGGAAGCACCAATCAAACCGGCAGCTGCGAAGTCCCTACAGGCGCACTACAGGTTAGGGATCTTAGTTGGCAGCACTGAACTTGGAAAGCTACCTTGCAACGTCGAAGTGAAGCTGGAGATCACCCCACGAATCCCAATCATCGCTCGTCACTCTGTACATATTCACAGCGCTCGCCACGCTCTTTCCCATCGAGGGAGTCGCTTTAACTCCTGGCGAGAGTGAATAGACGATGGCACGATTAGTAGCGGAGATGGCCTACGTAAAAATCACGCAAAACCAACTTTGTTAACGTTTCTATGATCCAACACTTTGTTGGAAAGATTCTGGAGGAACTTACAGTTGACACGGCTTGGATCTCGTCCAAGCTAAGATCGTCCACTCCAAAAACGCAGTCGTGCTTTACTGCAAAACTGGAAAACTTCAATCTCGGACAAAGACAACGATAAAAACGCAAAAAAAAAAAAAAAACCAAAGAGCAAAGATAAAACTTACTGAAATGCACTCCCCAGGACGCGTATTGCTGATACAAAGAATCCAAAAACGCCTTGCCACCCACGCTCGAAGTGTCCACGCTCACGAAGCAATCCTTCATCCACGAGCATGGCCTGGACGGCAAAGCGATGTCTCTAGCTCGCCACCCCTTCGACAAAAACAAAAGCAAAGCACCAAAGAGAGGAAACAAAACAAGGAATATCAATGCCAGGACGAAGAAACAAAGGAGTTTTCACCCACCGGTGCACCAAGAACTGGAGTGTTTTGTTGCAAGGCCGCGGTGCTTATCCCTCTCATGACATGAATCCCGAATTTGAGACCCATGGCGTGAACTTTGGCCGCGATGGGGGCGAATCCTTTGCCTCCGGCCGTGGAAGGCCATCTCACAGGATCTGGAACAAGGCGGCCCCATTCATCGATGATATCATACCCTGGAGAGGACATGGATGCCCCCTTTACGTTCTTCCGGAACCACAGAAAATCTACTACCACGTACTGGCAAAGTCCGATCCTCAAGAACAAGAGAGAAAAGGAAGAAAGGAGAAAAGCTTTCCATACCTCGTAGCCAAATTGCTGGAGTGAATCGGCCACTACTTGGGCGTTTGCCAGGAATTCGTCCTCGGAGACAATCCAGGAGAAGGAATCGTAGGAATTCCAGCCGCGCGGTGGAGTGGAAGAGATTGTAGATTGAGCCGAGATCCCGCTCCATAGACTAGAAAATCGCAGGAACAAAAGAGAGACATGTCAGAGATGGCGCACAGGAAATTCCGCAAGAATTTGGCATGCGAGAGGCAATGCAGGCAGATCCTGAGCTCTAGAAAAGAAATCACAAGGATTGGGGAGTGAGCACACATTGCCGAATGTAGCAGGAGGGGGATCAAGACGATCATCGCGGCATCGGCAGCAGCCATCCAAGCGTTTCGCTCGATCCAACCCTATTGAAAACAAAAGAGCACTGCTTATATCTTGGGGAAAGCCCCCATATTCCTCTAACACCTTCAAATTAACATTAGGAGGTAACGTAAACATATTATATTATTATAAATAATATAATATAGTATAGTAAGTTTTTAAGTATAATTTTATTTAAAAGAAACCATAAAAGGAAGCATAAAAGTAAGGAACCATAAAAAAGGGTTTACAAGTTTTCTTTTCTCTGTTGGGATGTTTGCCCCTATAATGAGGTTTGTAAAGTTGAGTAGTTTTCCTATTCTAGAACAATTGCGGCTGGAAGCTAATGTATTTCGCAAAAGCCATGAGAACTGGTGCATTGTTAGTAGCAATGGCACAATTGATCCAACCATTGTTGTTGGGAGATTTGGGTAAGTTTTAAATTTAATTGATTCAGTTGGTACCGAATGGAAGTTCAATATAGAGAAGTGTCAAAGCTTGTGGACATGGATGCATCCTTTAAGGACAATATCTCTGTTGTGAGGAGGGCCAGTGGTGGTGGAACTGTCATTGTGGATAGAGATACTATGTTTGTAACTTTGGTTTGCTCCTCAAGCTTTGTGAAGCCTTTGGCTATGACTTGCTGGGCTTCTAAATTATATACAGATGTATTTAGAGATGTAACAGGCTTTCAGATGGATGGTTTCTTTGGTGAGTAATTTAATTATCTTAATCCTAATGGTATTTGTTTCTTTTATAGATCATGTTAAAGATGGTAAGAAATTTGGAGGCTCGGCAGAAAGGCGTGCATGTAATCGTGGCTTTCTTCATACATCGTTTCTTTGGGATTATAATCCTGCAAATATGAATTATCTAAAATTTCCTCCAAGGGTTCCAGCATATCGGCTTGTAAGTAACTTTGTTTTAGAATTTTGAGTATTTATTCATGCATTGCGTACATCAGAATAGGTCACATGGAGATTTTTTATGCAAAATGAAAGACTTTCTCCCATACAGAAATTTTATGCTGGAAGAGCTGGAAAGAAGTTTGGGGAATTATTTTGTTTTACAACCTAGTACACTTGAAGATTTACAAAACATCGAAAGAGACCCAGAAGATTGTACTGATATTATATCACTTTAGTGTTATATATTTCCAACATTGGACATTACTAATATTAATTTAAAATTTTGATAAAAGGTTTGAATGTTCTTCTATAAAGAAGAAAACCAGAGAATGCCACATGTTGCCATAAAATCAAAGACAAGTGCTGGTGTTGGCATTGACACGCACAATAGAGTACCATTTTGCGATTCATGCGTGTCATCCTTCTGCAGAGATCATAACAAAGGAATCTATACACCCCAAATACAAGTTGGCAGCTGTGTTACTAACAACACTAAGGGCAAACAAATAATCAAAAATTTCTACGAAGCTTTAAATCTTTAATTCCAACCAGAAACTCTTATTAAAATGATCATTTTTATGTTACAACAATGTACTAGCTTAGGTGCTTATCCTTGAGAGAACAGGTCTGTGAGGTTTGGGAGCTGTGCAACGCAAAACTTGTCAAGCTATTTGCCAAAAATTGAATAGAGAATCTTGCCTTTGGGATTGCCCTGCTCGTAAAACTCTCGAAAGAGTCCGATGGCTTCCTCAGCCATGATTCCTCCAACGCAAGGATAAGTCATTCCTCCTGCACTTTCTGGTGCTTCACTAGAAACATGAAAGAAAAAAATTCAACATGGAAAGCAAGAACTATAAGTTCATGACTCAAACCTTGCACAGTGTCCTACTCCATTCGAATGGAGCGATAAGATAGAGCCGCAGCCACCGAATCGATCGTTTTTACAGCCATAGAAAACCTTGCCTATTCCTGAAAAGATCACGAAGAGAAGACGAGAACTTTTCAGAAGAACACAAAGAACAGTAGAAACAACGCGAAGAAAAATGCGTACCAAGCAAAGAAAGAGCAGCGGCACACATGATGCAAGGCTCGCAAGTCACGTAGAGCTCGCATCCGGCGAAGCGTTTGGAGAAATCTTCGTGGCTGGAGCACTCCCAACGAGGAAGGAGCATATCAATGGCTTCCATTTCAGCGTGCCTGGTAGCCTGGAAGAAAGAAAACCTTCGTTCCTGTTTTCCCTGGAAGAAAGGCTACGCTTACATTGCGCGTTTCGTTCGTCCTGTTACTGCCGGAAGCAATCACTCGCCCATTCTCCACAATCACGCATCTAAAACAAAGAAAGAAATCGATCGCGAGAAATTTGCAGTGAAAGATCGTACCCGACAGGAACCTCTAGCCTGTTGAGCGCTTGCCTCGCCTGAGGGACACGATTCGATCGACTCACTCTCCATCAAATTCCATCAACACTACCTGCGCCAGCGCCAAATCCATGAACTCCATATCTCTAGAACCCTAAAATTCCACGCATATTCTAATCTTTAACCTTTAAGGTTACCTTTAAGTTTTAACGCAAGAATTACACTTATCTGTGAATGGAGGAAAAGGCTATCGCTCCTTTCACTTCCCGGCGGTATAGTCGCAGCCTCGAGGATGGAGCGAGTAGCGAAATCCTCTTCTCTATTTTTTTTCGGTTGTCGCGATTATCTCTTCACTCACGCGCTACTGTCCGTGGATGTGCTCAAGGACGTCGAGTTCCAGTTCCAGAGAGCTTGCTCGCCCTCTCCACACCGGCTGTGAACTTCGTGAATCCTCTCGGCTGACTTGCAAATCCCACTGCAAGACCAGTCGAACGACGCGACGCACGCATTCCCTGCCTGTGCCTTCCACTCGCAATCTGGAAGAAAGGAAAGTTCGTTCTAATCTTGTTCCAAGGAGAAGATCTGCGTACCTGGCGGTGTCCCGCAGCACATTGTTCTATCATCGATGTGTTCTACATCCAGGCCGATAAACCAAGCCCCGAGTGAAACGTCCTCATTCGCATACTTGTGCAAAATTGGCCTAGCATAGACAAATCGTAAGGAAACAATACGAAGGAAAGAAAAATAGGAGTTTCTCTTACTCGTTGGCTGAAATGTACGTTGCCAAATCCTTGGAGATTACATACAACTGACCGGTTGCGTGTCTGAAGTAGCGATTTCCTTGCTCTCCAAACTTCCAATACTCTGGTTCGTGGTAGCGGACTCCTCTGATCGAATGCCATTTGTACGTTAGAAATACGAGCCTCAGTAGCTTACTTTTGAGCCAGTACTGGACCAGACTTCATGCAACCGATGTAGATCCGATGTTTCGCTTGTTGCCGGGCTAAATTTGTTGCCAAAGCCCCTGTCAAAGTGAAGAAAGGTAAACAACTTACTATAGTCGCAGGCAATTGTTCACCCACCTAAGTTTACATGAACATCGTCATCTACTTTGACGTAAAAGTCGGCATCCCATTTTGCCACAGCTGTGGAAAAGTAGATTTTGGTTTTGGCAGACAACTCGAGATAGCCTTCAACATGGTCCTACAGAACGAAATTATAAGTAAACGTCTCACCATGGAGCAAATTTACCAGTCTCAAGAAATCGTTATGCTGCGTATTTTCAGCATCAATAGCTCTGTCTAAGATACCTCCAGGAGTTGCACTATCAAGATAGAAAGCATGAACTTCGTTTCAAAAGGTAACGCAGTCATACCTGTGTCCTATGACAAACCGCACGACAATTCCCTTTTCGTCTTCGAGTTCCTTGAGCTTCTCTCCTGTAAAATGACGTATTAGACTTTGGAGACGAGAACGTTTTGTTTACCTCTTGGCATCCACGTTTCGCGAACAGAATCTCTTCGCTTCCTGCTGCTGAATGCCGTGTTTATCCCAACCACAACGAAAGCTTTTTTCCGTTCCTCCGGCAACGCTTTCTCGGCGTTCTTCAGGAACGCAGCCGAAGACTTCTCACGCGATTGGGCATTGAGACCAGACTCCCAAGTTGCAAGCGTTCTGAAAGTTTGCAACGTCACGAAACAGCATATACACAAGCCAAAAACACAAACCCAGGGCGATGATGGTCATCCATGATAATATCATGCTCATGTACATGCTTCTGCGGAAAAGGAGTTAAAAGCGGAGAGGACAAAAGGCAAAGCTTAACTTACATGCTTTTTTTCACAGTCATAGTCATCGTCATCACCATGGTATTGCAATTTCAGCGCTTCTTTTCCCTCCTCCACAAACCACATCCTGCGAGAAAGAAGAAAACTAAAGCCAAAAGTTCCACAAAAAATGAGAAAAAGAGTAAACCTGTTGGTGAAGAGCAGGCCGACGCAAAAACTTAACATGCACAAAACCAGCACCCATCGCGTCGCCAATCCGCCAGCGCCTCTCCCCCGCATTTCTTCCGATCAAGAACCCGGCATTTGGACGAAACCTTACATCCAATGCCGACGAATCGCTGAAATGCCGGCTACAAATCCATAATCTCAGGCCAGAGATCGAGAGATCTAGGAGCGCTACATACCTCCCCAGCGAGTCATAGAGCGCCTTGCGCTCCGAGATGAAGAAGCCCTAAGTCTGCGCAGCAATAGAAAAGTCTCCTCTCTTTCTTCCACGAGCAAAACTAAAGGCCCACTAGCATAAAAAGTAAAATTTCCGCTAAGCAATTCATATTGACGGGGATGGAAAACGTGGCGCCTGATCCAACGGTGGGATGGAGCTCCCTAGCATAAAGCAGGGTAAATCGTCTGCCATGAACTCCACTTGATGTTGCATATTCGTGATAGGGAAAGACTTGTTTTTGTCAATGAAGATGCTTTCTTTGCAAACGACATGTCCCTCACAAATCTTATCATCCAGATGTATAGCCACTTTGCTGAAATGGATTCGGTTGCGGTGTTCCAATTGATCCCCAAGCGCAATGGACTATCTTGCTCGAGGCATTCGCCCAGAATGGGGATTTCGAGGAGGTGCTGGGGATCTTAACAATTTTGCTAAAGCTCAGAAAAAGAACACCAATATGATGCATCCATTGTTGAAGCAATCAATTTACAAAGTCATATGAATATGCAAGAGGGATTGATAGAGATTGGGTTAGACGAGGAGATCATAATCACTCTTGAGATTGAGGAAACAAGATCCATACCAGGTAATATCATTTTAATAAAGTTTCTAATACTAATATTCATTTTTGTTCTTCAGTCTTTAAAATAATTGTGGAGGATTCCTCTTATTATCTGAGAAAGATTGTTGCAATTATTGGGAACCATTCAAATTTAGGCAGTGGGACCTTAATGGATTGCTTTTAAACCTGAAGCTTTTATCTTGCAAATTTGTGGGAATGTTTGCATAGCAAAATTGAGAAAAGTTTCTTTAGCCCCTAGCAAGTGATATTATGGTATATTGACCAAGATATATTTCTCTATTGATCAAGGTGGGGGACATTTGAAACGGCCAAAGATATGGCTTTAGCATATGACATCATGGCTCAATCTATGCATGGTGCCAAAGTGCACACAAATTTTTAGTGCAATGTGCTAGTAAAGATGCGTTAAACCACTTTGATATGTCTCAGCAGAATGAGAGTGATATGGTCTTTTCTAATAGCTATTTATAGAAGGTATTTAGATTTGTGGGCAATATTTATTTTATGTAAAGAAAGTCTTAAACATGAAAATGTTATTCCCACATCTAGATTTTCTATTTTGTATTTATTAAGTTTTCAAATTTATCCCAAATGCTATCTTTTGAGGCTGGATGAAAACTTAAAAAGCAAACTTTCATATAAAGAGGGTGGGTTTCAAATGTATAATAGAGATGGTTAGAAGTATAGTTGACCATTTAAGAGTTAATGGATTATTTATATCCTCTGTCCTTACTTTAGAAATAGCACTATATTTTGCATGCTTATTATTAATATAGCATAAAATATTTATAATAATAACATTTTTAAAACACTAATTAATTAGCTATAGTTCTATATACTTACACCTCATTCCTAGGTTTAAGTAAAGAACCATACCAATGTCTTTGTATATCAGATTGCAAGCAAAGAGTTATACTTAAATTTTTATATACTTAATTTTAAATTGCAAGAAAAAAACTACATTTAAGCCTCTTTGTGAGCAAAGGGTCTTAATATTATGATTTTGGATATTTTAAGATTATTATAATGTTTCTCCATACATCTATTTATTCAATCTTTAATTGTACATTTGGGAGTTTAACTTCATCCCTTTATTCATGTGACTCTTACCTTGAAAAATTATCATCTCTTCCAAGAATATGTGTTTTATTCATCTTGTGGAAGAGCTCTGTTCGATCTTCAAGACATAAGCGCAGAGATCCGTGTGGCCCAAAACTCTAAAACTCATAATTCATTATAGGGTATAAAATCAAAACCATATATAATATAGAAAGAATGGGTAATGAATATCTAAGGTGTTATATTGACCATTTAGGAAATTGAAATATTTGATAAGATTTATAGAAACATAAAAGTTTTATAGTTAAATCAAATCACAAATGCATATAAAACTATAAAGAAAAATATAACTACTCTTCTAAACTACAAGGGAAAATGTATTTTAAATGTTATAATTGACTATATAAATATATATTTTTAAAACTATATAAAATCCCAAACATTTTGCCATAAGAAAAATCATATATAATATTTGATAAAACAGAGTAACATAAAGACACTATACTAAAAACTACTTATCACATTAATACTTAAACCATATAAAAAAGTAACTATTAGAAAACTAAGTAAACCACATGTCAACTGGGGGTTGGACTCCAGTGGAACCAATTTTGTCATGTGATTTTCTCATATGTCCTATTTCTCTTACCAAGTGTTTCATATAGTTAATTTTGAAAAACCACATCATTTGGCATCTTTTAGTACCTTTAAACCTAGAACTCTAAAACTCTAAATGTGGGACAATTTTGTTGTTGTTAGAATCCTTAATTCTCTGAGACCAAATTCTTCTTAAGGCATGCTTGAAACAGTAAGTTCATCTCTTCTTGTTTTCGTTGTCCTTTTTTCTCTCACAAAGAGAGCGGCCACGGTATTGCACTTCTGC